TGTGCTTCAGATGACCAAAAATTAGAAAGTTAATGTCTGAAAAACAAAATGATTACATTGGGAAGGTAGGATTGTGGATTTTTAAAAATTTTCTTCATATTGCAATATAGTTTAATTTATAGTTTGAATAGATTTTAGTTTATTGGAGAAAGCATATAATGTTTAATTCATAAAAATGTACATTTCAAGTAATTTAAACCCCTAATCCTCACCTACTTTCTATATATGGGAAAGTAATATTGGCTTTTTAGTTTTGACAAATAGTTGTTTAGTATAATTTTAAAAATTATAGGAGAAATATGCTTGTCTCTTAATTTTTGTGTTATCTTTGTTTTTCTGAAATAATAGGGACTAGGCATAGTGGTTCATGCCTGTAATCCCAGCACTTGGGAGACTGAGGCAGAAAGATCACTGTGAGTTAGAGGCCAATCTGGGCTACAAGGTGAGTTCAAGACCAGCCTGAACTGCATAGCACAACTCTTAACTCAGAAAGTTAAAACAAAGAAAAGATAAGGTCTTATTTCATAACCCAGGCTAGCCTTGAACTTGTAATCTTACTGCCTCAGACTCCCTATTGCTGGGATTGTAGTTATGTGTCACCTTACCAGCTTGCCTTTATATCTTAAGGTGAAAACTATAAAATTATATGACTGGGAAAGGAAAAAATAACTCATTCAGGATTATGATATTAATGCTATATATGTACCCAAATGTAATCACTTTCATTTTCTTTGTTACTAGCAAAACTGTTCATTGTAGGATCAAATTCTTCATCATCAACTAGAAATGCAGTTGACATGGGTAAGCAAACTTCACATTTTTTTTCTTAATAGTGGATCCTAAGTTACAGTAGGTATTTTAGTTATGACTCATGTTCAGGTCTAGGTGATAAAGAAATTGACCTGATTGTAATTTTCCTTTTTAAAGTTCTAGCCTAATTTTTTTGAGTGTCAGTTTTTAATATATTCTAGATACTCGCCCTTTGTCTGAGCAACAACTGACAACATTTTTCCCCGTCTGTGGATTGTCTTTACTCTGTTGATGGTTTCTTTGGTTGTGAAAGTTTTTTTTCATAAAATGAAATCCCAGTTGTTGATTCTTTTTATTGTTTCCTGTGATCAGCATTTTGTTCATAAAGTGTTTGCCTACATGAATGTCTTCAGGAGTTCCAACTATTCTATTTTCAAGCAGATTTATTGTTTCTGTTTAATATTTAACTGCATTTTGATTTTAGCTTAGTGCATAGAGAGAGAGAGATGGGTCTAGTTTCAATCTTTGGCATGTGGAAATTCAGTTTTTCAGAACCATTCATATATATATATATATATATATATTTAAATTTTTAAAATTTGTTTTTATTTTTTATTATTACTATTATTTTAAAGACAAGAGCTTGCTTTGTAGTTCAGGCTGAACTTGAAGTCACTATGTGGTCCAGGCTGCTCTCATGCTCACAGCTGTCCTCCTGTCTTAGCCTCCCAAATTCTGGAATTACAAGCATGCACATCATGCACAACTTGAGGAGGCTGTCTTTCTTCCAGTGAAGGTATTTGGCCTCTTTGTCAAATATAAGGTGGCTGAGTATGTTGGAAGTTGTTTGCTCATCTTTTTTTAATTTCAGTTTTTAAAGAATGCAAAATAGATAAGGGCTGGCCAGTGGATTAAAGCACCTGCTGTCTAAGCAGCGGCTGGGGTTCGATCACCAGCATGCCGTGCTGGCTCCATCCCCAGGGTGCACTGAGATGGCGATTGAGACTGGGTGTGGTGGTGCACACCTGTAATCCCAGCTCTTTGGGAGGCTGAATACAGGTGGATCACTACAAGTTGTATGTATGTAGTGAGACCCTGAGACCCTGAGACCCTGTAGACCCTTACTAAAAAAAGAAAAGCAAAACAAAACAAAAATACAAAATAGTACCAAAAAAAAAAGTTGGAAATGATACCAATTTCATTAAACAAAGTAATAGGAATTTGACAGTGGTTGTTGTATTGCATAATGTTGTTTTCAGATCAGTTGTTTAGGTTAGCAGATATAAGCCTGCAACCTTTGTAGGGCCAATAGGGCTGGGGAGACAGTTCAGTAGAATAAACGCCTGTCTGACAAGCACAGGGTCCTGAGTTCAATCCCAAGTACCACTAAAAAAAAAAAAAAAAAAAAAAAAAGCCTGCGATAGTGGTTTAAAAAAGTTATAAGAAATTAAAAAGAAAATAAATTTTAAACATTAACTGCTCCTTTTAATTGGAAATAATACTACAGAAATCAGCAGTGCAGTTGTCCAAGATATCATACGTATATAGATAAACATATATTTTTTACTTCTTTTTTTTGTCCTTTTCCTCATCCCAGTTTTTCCCTCCCATTAAACAGATTCTTCCCCTTTCACAGTATCTGTTGTAACTTTCAGATTTTATTGATTCTTTCAGGTTCTCACACTAGCGAGACAATAGGATATTTGCACATACAGGTCTAATTTGTTTCACTTAGCAATATAGTCACTAGTTGCATTTATTTATAAGCCTCAAACGTACCTTCTTTTATAGCTGAGTAATACTCCATTGTATAAAAATACATCTTCTTTAGTCATTCCTCAGTTAATGGACATTTGTGTTGTTTCTAAGATTTAGCTATGACAAATTGTGCTGCTATAAGTATGGGTGCACATATGTCACTGTGGTATGATGATTTCAGTTCTTTTGGAAAAAAACCTGGGAGGAGAATAGCTGGCTTGAATGGGACCTCCAATCCTAGCTTTTCGAGGACTCTCCACTCTGATTTCTATAATGGTTGTACCATCCTCCTGCACTCCTGACAGTAATGGAAAAGGGTTTCTTTATCCCCACAACCTCTGCAGCATTTGTTAGTGGTTGACTTCAATTTTTTTTTTTTTTTTTTTTTTCTTCTTCTTCTTTTTTTTTTTTTTTTTGTGGCCAGCTCCACCTACCCTGGCGGAGGGGCTGGTGCAGCATGTGGTACAGGGGATTGAACTGCTATCCCTGTGAGCTTTTCTACGCTTACCTAAGCAGGCACTTTAGACCGCTGAGCTATCTGCCAGCCCTGGTTGACTTCTTGATGATAGCCATGTTTTCTGACCTAAGATGGAATCTCAGCGTCTTTTAATTTGCATCTCTTGAACAACCAATGATGTTGAATGATTTTTCAATTGCCATTTGTATTTCTTCAATTGTGAAGTATATATCTCAGATGGCTATTTTTGTTGGAGTTTGAATTTTGGAGGTCTGATTTTTATTTTAATTCTTTATGTGTTCTAGAGAGGCCTTTGTCTGAGGGACAATGGCTAAAATTTTTTCCTAATTCATGGGTTTTCTTTTTACTCTGTTGGTGATTTATTTTTTTTTATTTTAATTTTTTTTTTTTTTTTTTTTTGGTGGAACCGGGGATTGAACTCAGGCCCTTGCACTTGCCAGGGAAGCACTTATTCCACTGAGCCATCTCCTTGGCCCAGTGATTTCTTTTGATGTACGTAAAAAACATGACAAACTAATTGATGATTTGCTATATTCTATTTGCTAGTATTTTATTGAGGATTTTGCATCTAAGTTCATTGGACAGATTGGCCTGTCATTCTCTTTTTTGGTTGGATCTTTCTCTGGTTTTGGTATCAGAGTAATACTTGCCTCCAGGAATGAGTTTGAGAGAATTGCTTCCATTGAAAAGTTTGAGAAGAGTTGGCGTTAAATATTCCCTAAATTACTTGTAGAATTCTGCTGTGTATCCATTAGGACTTGGGCTTTTGTTTTTAAGTTTTTTATTACATTTTCTATTTCATTCAGTGATAATGGGTTAGTCACAATTTTTATATTACTTGATTCAGTTTTGGTAATTTGTACCTATCTAGGGGTCTGTCCATTTCTTCTTTGTGTTCCATCCTGTGACAATAAAGATTTTGGAAATAGGTAATGATAATCTTCTGAATTTCTATGGGGTCTGTAGTAATTTCACCCTTTCCATTCCTTATTGCGTGAATTTGAATTTTTTCTTTTCTTTTTTTGAGGAGGTGGGCTAAAAGTTTATCAATTTTAGTTACTCTTTCAAAGAACCAACTCTTTGATTCATTTATTCTTTGTATTTTCTTCATCTCCGTTGCATTTATTTCTGCTCTGTTTTTATAATTTACTGCCTTCTTTGGACATTGGGCTTGACTTGCTCTTCTTTTTATGGGAGCTAGAGGTGCAGCATAAGATTCTTTATTTGGGCTCATTTTGTTTTCTTGATGTGAGAGTTTACTATAAATTTCCCTCTTAAGACAGCTTTCATTGCATTCCAAAGGTTCCAGTAAGTTGTATCTGCATTTTTGTTTGATTGAAATTTTATTTAATTTCTTCATTAATTTCATCTGTGACCCATTGAGGAGAATATTATTTAGTGTCCATGTATTTATGGAGTTTTTGCAGGGTTTTTTTGTCAATGATTTCCAGTTTTATTGCACTATAGTCAGATGATATGTACGGGATAATTCCGTTTCCTTTGTATTTACTTAAGTATGCTCTGTGTGCTTGTATGTGGTCTATTTTGGAGAACATCCTGTGTGCAGCTGAGATGAATGTGTATTCTGTTGTTGCTGGGTGGAACACACTGTAAAAGTTTACTAAGTCCATTTCTTCAAAAGCTTGGCTTAATTCTGTTATTTCTTTGGTGATTTTTTGCTCAGTTGATCTCTGAGTCAGTGGGGTATTAAAGACCCCCAGTACAATTGTGTTACTGCTCATTTGATTTTTCATGTCTGTTAAAATTTGTCTTACATAGTTGGGTGCATATATAATTATAATTATCTCTTCTTCTTGCAGTTTTCCCTTACCAAGTATGTGGTGACCTTCTTTATGTCTTTTAAACGCTCTGGCTTTGAAGTTGACGTTGCCAGCAACTAGAATAGCTACCCCTGCCTTTTTCTGGGTTCCTGTTGTATGCAGTATTGTTTTTCATCCTTTGAATGTCAATCTGTTAATTTCTTACTGAGTTAAATGTGTTTCTTATATATATCATATTGTTGAATTTTGTTTTTTCATCTACTCTGTCAGTCTGCTTCTTTTGATTAGTGAATTGAGGCGATTTACACTGATGGTTGTAACGGATATGTGATGGCTTATCTTTGGTATGGTATGTTCCTACTGTCGGATCCCTACTTTCCCTCACTGTGTAATTGCTTGCTTTGTTTGGTGGTTCTTTTCTGTTGTTGTTCTTGAAGTTTTGGTCATTTTTGTCTCTTTATAAAATATTTGCCAGTACTTTTTGTAGGGTTGCTTTGGTGGTCATGAATTTTTTTCAGTTCTTTGTCATGGAAGTATCTTATTTCTCCATTAAATTTGATAGTTTTGCAGGGTACATCAATCAGGTTAGAAGTTGTTTTCTTTCCTGAAATATCTCACTCCAGGCTCTTCTTGATTTGATCCTCTGTGTTAAGAAATCTGCCGTGATTCTGATGGGCTTTCCATTATAGGTGATGTTTCTTGTCTCTAACAGGTTTTAATATTCTGGTCTTTTGCTGAATATCTGGGATCTTGATTATTATGTGTCTGAATGTAGATTTATTTTGATTATGGCTAACTTGAGTTCTATATGTGTCACTTAACTGTATGTCAGATTATTTTCCCATGCTTGGTAAATTTTTGGCTATTACTTCTGCAAATAGTCTTTTAAGGCCATTTGTGTTGACTCCAGCCTTCTTTTTTTTTTTTTTGTATTTTAGGAAAGAGCCTACAGGGTGTTCAGGGTCTCACTACTAGATCAGATTTGTAGTGATCTGCCTGTTTACAGACTCCCAAGAGCTGAGATTACAGGCAGGGGCCACCACGCCCAGTCTCAATTGCTCTCTCAGCACGTCCCCCGGGGGCGGGGCCAGCACAGCAGGCCTGGGGATCGAACCCCTGGTCCCTACTTTTTTTTTAAATACCTGTTAGTCTTATTTTTCCTTGCATCATCTTGCAGCTATTGCATTTTTATTTCCTGTTTCCGTATTATTTTTAAGACATCTTTCCTTTTGTGAACAAAAGGAAAATTAACTGCAAAAGTGAACACTAGTTTGCAATGCTATCTTCAAGGTCTCAAATTGTATCTTCAGCTTCATTCCAGCTGTTTGGCCAGCTTTCAGTAAAATTCTTAATGTCCTGGATATTTGTTTGAATCTATTTCATGCATTCTAGTTCTTTCCTGCATTGTTCATTCAAATGTTTCCATCATTTTCCTATTTCCATTGTTTTTATCTATGTCTTTTTTGGGTGTACCGAACAAGTTTTTCATAATTGTTATCATTTCCTTCTTTACCTGAGAGGTTATTTCTGGTCTGATATCCTCCATAGCCTGATGAAGTTGTTTCTTTACTTCCGTTCCTATTGTTTCTAAAACTTCAGGTGTGTGACTTCCATTTTCTTCAATGACCTTGTCTCCTGGACTTGTTTTGGGTGAGCTGGAGGTCTGAAATTGCCTTTTGGTCCTTTCTTGTGACATTTTTCTAGCTCCCTGTATTCACTCTGAATCTGCAGTGATGGTAGAGGGCGAGGGGGTGGGTAAGCAAGGCTTCCATGAGACTGGGAGGGCACAGTAGGCTCCCCAGAACTGCAGCTGTCTGAGTTCAGTGTGGCTTCTGCCATGGTGAGGGGGGCAAGCTGTAGCTTAGGAAAGTGATGATGAGGGCAGGCCACGGCTGTGTAAGGCTTTCTGGATTGTGAGTAGGTGCAGTGTAGGGCACACCAAGGTTCCTGCTACCTGTGGGATGGGCTACAGTAGAGCTATGGTGATGGCAATGGTGTGAGAAGCAGCTGCATGGCTCAGCCAAGCTCTGGCAAGGGCAATGGGGAGGGGGTGCGGGCAGGCGAGGTTTCCTCATCTTTTAATCTGCTTCATTGATCTTGGGTCTGGTTCCCCCCATCCCCCAGTACCATGTTCTTTTTTATCACTATAGCCTTGTAGTATAGTTTTAAGTCAGGCATTGTGATGGCTACCCTCTGCCTTGCTTTTGGTGCCCAGAATTGCTTTTGCTATCCTAGGTCTCTTCTGTCTGTTTCCAGATGAATTTTAGGATTGTTTTCTCTAACTTTGTGATAGCTTAATTTCTTAAATCTTCTGTAGAATCATATTGACTCACATAGTGTTATATTTTAATATGCAAGAGAAATGTAAAAGATATAACAATTAAACGTTAACTGTCTGGAGATAGAAATTAGCTTTACATTCTTAGCCATTTTATTACTATAGATGAAATAAAAATCAAAGACAAGAAGAACAAAAACAAGTATTTTGTATCTTTTCAGCAATGAGATTATTGTGGTATTACTTGCTATAATCCTTTTTTCTTTTAAAACATTCTTCCAATATTTATGTTGTATAATTGCTTTTAATATCACTGTAGAATGAGCAATAATTTAACATAAACATAGAAATTATGACATCTATTTCTGTAAATACAGATTAAGATCATTAGCTTTTTTATATTAATTTTATTGAGAAAGATAGCAATGAGACAGTTTCAAAATATGTTAGTAGGACAGTTACAATAATTAATACATTGCATATTGTCTTCGTAGTAGTTATTCATAGTACAAGATGCAGACATGATATCTTGTCTAAACACTATTAGTTCAAAACTTTGTTCTCATTGAACTAAGAGAAAGTAGCTGTATATCTATGCTATTTTGTATATGTGTGTGTGTGTGTGTATATATATATATATGTCTTTTTCACTACAAAATGGTCCTTCATTTATATCCCCCTTTTTTGTTTACTTGTGTCAGAGATGGGTATTCCATTGCCATTCATATATTGTAGGTGCATGAATTCAGCAAAGTAATCCACTATAATCCAGTAGTCTATAATAGTAGTGGGTTATCCGCATGACTGGCAATGTCAGAAGTTGTTCACTTGAGCTTTTTACAACCCAGCATATGGCTTTAGTTTTTATACCTGGTTTTTATACTTTTCTGCTGGATGGTTAAGACCAAGATAAAGCAAGACATATATAACAAGAAATGTAATTTTTGTATCTGACAAGGTCAGTCAAATTCCCTCAGGATTTACCCTGAAATCCTGTATAGCAGTTTGTAGATCATTTGTCAGTGTCAGGCATGTGGATGAGTCACAGCCATTACTTGACCAATTTGCTCTCCGTGAAAGCCTGAGAGAATGTTTTCTCTCTAGGTGACTCTCCTTAAGCACATTATACATCCTCGATCACTTTCCTCTGTGGCCCCACAGTCTTCTTGAAGATCATTAACTTTAGTTTTCAGAATTTCAGGCTTGGGGGCCTGGCCCTAGCTCAGGCCTTTAAGTGGCTGCTTCCACAAAGCTGTCAGCCTCAGGTTGCTGGAGTTCGAACCTCACACCTCTCCCACTGGCCAAAAGTGCCCTGAAGGCATTCGAGCAACAACAA